GAAAAAAAAAAAAAAGAGAGAGAGAGAGAAAATTTAATTATGTAACATGTGACCTAGTGTCATATAGAATGAAAAAAGGTTTACATGAATATATAGTATCTAATGAATTATGAATGTCCAATTTGCTATGGTGTGCGAGAATCTCGCTGTAATGAAGAAAGAGAACACATATTATAAGATCTATGACGAATAAAAGACTTTACTAACTACTATGTTTTTGTGACATTTTTTTTTTTTTAAGTGTATGATCTTTTTATTATCAATTAGATGTATTATGAACAAGTAATATATAGTCTGATAAAATCAAATTAGTTTAAGGGCAATAGATAAAAGGGTTGGATGGATCCATGACCTCTCCGTGTATATGAATTGACCATATTCCATATATATGAATGAGTTGAGGGTTTAATCTGTAATTATTATATACATCTTTATTTGTTTAACACCTATAATAGCTCGACAAAGTGTTATACGTCAAGGTTAGCTCGGTGGATCGGTTTACTCAGTGTTAGCTCTGGTCACTAGTTCTGTTAGTTATATAATTATATAATAATATATATGTTATTGTAATGTGTACTGTAGGCTATATTACGACCATGTTAAGCCGTTTAAGGTCCAGATCTTTTATATATATATACGTGTATATGCATCTGTGAATAATACAACACATAATTTTGACCATAATTTTTTTTTTTTCTTATATATTTATTTTGACCAGCAAATTAAATATTATAGACAATTATTGCTTATAGCTACCATTCATAGCTCATACTTTATTTTCTGACACATTAATTGAGTTATCAAATTGATAAGCGTGACAACCCATTAATTTGGTATTGTTCAATTCAAATTCAAAAATTGAGGCAGTGAATATTTTCCAAGAATTTTGGACCCGATTTTTCCAACCATTTTAAACGGATTTGTTAACTATTCATTACATTAAGGAATTTTGTTCACTTAAAATTTCAAAATATCGACTTCAAAAGGTGTATCTAATTGTTGAATTTCAAAATTCAAAAACATCAATGCACACGTTTTTAGATATAAATATTTTCCAAAAATTTTGGATGGATTTCTCCAATCATTTTGGGCGGAATTTTCAACCATTCCTTAAAATATGGATTTTGTTCAACTTAACTTTCAAAATATCAACTTCAACATCTATCTTGTGTATATCAAATTGTATGCGTTTCAAAATTCAAAAACAACGATACACATTTTAAATATAAACTTCCTAAAATGAAGGATTTTGTTTCAGCTTGACATGTATTTTATAAATCACACCTTTTCAAATTTTTGACTTATTTGTTTAAATTTTTCGGTGATTCATAATTGATTTCAAATTTAAAATCTTCTTTTGGAGTAATTTGTAAATACTATTATTTTATATACTTTTAAACATGTTATTTGGGTAACATTTTTACATATTTTATAGATTTCAAATGTTCTTAGACATGTTTTGGTTACAAAATGGTTTAGAAAAATTGTAGGTGAATTCAAATTTTTTAAAAATAATATATAATATAGCCTTATATATGTTATATAATATTTTAGGTATTTTTAATATTTTAAACGTACATATTTTATGTTATCTTAGATAAGATAATTTTACATTGTAAATTATATCAAATGTTAACCCTAAGTCTTTAATTTATTGTTTACTCACTCTATAAATATTATTTTATTATTTACTCACTCTTCAATTTATAATTATTATTTAATATAATTACCCATGTATCGCACTGGCTATACATTGGTTTATAAAAACCAACAAGCTAATAATAAAATCCACTTCTCAATATTTATTTTGGTAAAACAGAAAATAATAAGAATAAGAAAATGTCTGAAGTCATAGCTAATTTTCGTTGATCAAAAGTCAAAACCATATCATGCAAGTTTTCATTGTGAATATAGTATCATTAAAATTTGGTTTATTGAAAAAAAAATTTGAGAAGAAAATATTTTTCCTAAAACAAGAAAACAGCTATGCAAGCTGTAAATATAGTATAATTAATATTTGGTTTCTTAAAAAAATTAGAACAAAACATTTTTCTTAATAAAAAAAAAGAAAAAAACTTTAGGGCGACGCGTGCGCAGCATTGAGCGCCACGTGCATCGAAGCAGTAACAAGCGGCGGACAAATTTCGTTAAAGTATGCGCCAAAACTAAAATGTCGCGCCAAACTTTTTTATTTCATTTCATTTTCATATCACTTATTTTCCCTCAAACTCGCTGGCGGGAAACAAATTAATAAAGCCTTAATTAATTATAATTATAATTATAAGGGAAATGATAATATACATAAAATCACTTAAAAATACTGTAGAAAAATCCATTACATTAAACGCAATATAAACAAAAATCTGCACTTCATTTCCGAAAAAGAAAAAAAGAAAAAGAGAGAAAACAAGGGTTTTTATCGCTCTTCATCTCCTCATTCATTTATGAAGAAAACTCTTTCGTCTTCTTCTCATAAGTGAAGAAATTAAGATCTGATCCATTTTGTAACCTTCATTTTGCGACATACAGAGCCGACTTGTTCACATTCCGCCTTTTTGTATTTTGTTCGGAGCAAAAAGGTTTGTCGGTTTTGCCCATTTGGAGCACAAATGGCGGAAGTTGAACCGATGCAAATCGACGGGGTCGAGCAGGTTAAGCCGACCATCGACGAGCCGTGTCCGAAGAAGAAGCAACTGAAGAGAAAAAGAGTGGACCTGTGTTTGCTCTCGCCGAACCCAGAAGAAAAACAAGCGAAAATCGCCACATTTCGCAGCGAAATCATTAGTCTTGTTAAGCTGTGTAAGGAATTAGTGTTCGCAAACAGGGGGGAGTTAATAGAGAATGTAGGGAGAGTTGGGAATTCGTTGAACAGTGTGATTGCATGCTTGATGGAGGAGAGCGACCTTCCTTTATCGAAGCTAGTTGATGAAGTTTTTGAGAGAGTTAAAGGCGTTAGTGGGGTTGGAGATGGTGTTAGCAAGGCTTCTGTGAAGAGTGCTGTGCTTATAGTTGGACAGAGATTGTGTTATGGTGTGATTAGTGCAGATGCTGATGTTTTGGAAGACGAGGATGAGTGTGCTCTTTGGTGCTGGGAGGTATAAATTGCAGTTGACCTCCTTTTTTAATTTTGGTTTACTTTCTGGTCTGCTAATTATCATATGCTATGTTTTGGTCGCCAATTGTTTTTGCTTTTCTGTTGGGTTATACAGCTGATAATTTTGCATATGGGCTCTGTTGCATTTTTTGTTTGATTATGCGGTATGTTTTCATTTTTGTTTGGTTTGTATCACATTATATGGCTGAAAATGATGTCACTTAATGCAGCGATTTATCTGGATATGCGATTTGATTAACTTTTGAATCTGCTAAGGTAACAGCCCTTGTTTGGTAGTGATGGGTATTTTGGTAGTGATGGGTATTTTGGGTATAAGAAACGTTACGTGATCTTCTGTTTTCCATTTGGAGGATCAAAGTAAATTGAAACCTGACTTTGTTTTCGTAAAAAATAAAAGATTAGAAAATTAGTGTCGGTTGATGTCTAGCTTCATTATCTGTATCTTTTATTCACTACAAGTTGAGTCAAAGTGTGATTTATTTGTTGTTAGTTAATTATCCAGCTGGGTAATATTTTCCATGCAAGGTAACTTATTCTATGTATCACCTGTTACTTGCAATTATAAATTTTGATTTCTATTGAATCAGCTTTAGTTTCATCGGTGTAGCATTTTCTAAAGTCTTATAATCGCTTGTTACATTTCTTGTTATTCCAACTTAAATGTGGATTGTGCTTTTCTTATATAAATCAATGAATTGTGTTCTCTATTATAGACAAGAGACTTAAAGTTGATGCCAACATTATTGCGTGCATCTTTGAAAGTTCGCCGCACTTGTCGGAAAAAGATCCAGGAGAGGATTATGGCTGTTTCTGGTAAATTCTGATTAAGATTATTCATAATTCACGTAATTTTCAGTTGAACTGTTTCGTTGATTTAATTTAGTTTAGTTGGTGTAAACTATGTCATGTTCATACAAAATCACTCTTAAAATGCATAATGAAGGACTGAAGTAGCTTTTGTTGTGTGATTTTGGCTGCTTATTTCATGAATATGCAAAGATGCAAAGGATCAATATGTAAATTAGGCTATCAAAGTCTTTCAGATTGCCGACCTCTCTATTGAAGCTTAAATTTCACTATTAGACCCCCCAACCATCAATTGATTTGACTTCATAAGATAAGATACTCTGTGTCTGGGTTAAATACTGAAAAAGGACATTACAGATTATGAGTTGGACGGAATTAGTATCTTGATAGGGGCAAAGCAGATGCACAATTTTTTTGTATTTTGCAGGAAAACTTCATTTGCTTGCTTATGTTTCTATTTTCTTTTAGTTGTTCCCCTTTTAGCTGACTATGCTCTTTCACTGATTTAATATTTGGGCCTTCTGCGGATAATATAACTTATCACTTGCTATCTGTATTGCGCTATTGTAATTTCTATTCACTTGTTTTTGGAGCCTTCTAGCTGATTCATCTTAGTGACATTCTCTTCTTTTAGTTCTTTGTGAATTGTAAATTTATTGGAAAGATTTTATGTCTCAGCAATGATAAATGCCCTTGAAAGTTCAGAAGATCGTCCAAGTTGTGTGCAAGAGTTGATGAAAGCTTCAGAAAAACTCAGTAAAGTTTTAAATGAGGCGGATATCCGGTTGTTAGTGGAAAACATGACACATAAAAGTGGTGCAGAAATGTAGGTACTACTATTAATACGTAGCCAGGTGCTTTTGAACTGTTAGCTTAATCATTGTTTTGTATGAAGGGCTGAGAAAGTAGCCAAGAGAGAAGAATTACAGTTAATCAAGCAAATGGAGAAGAACAAAAGAGAAAAGGAGAGAGAGAAGAAGAGGATGGATCGGGAACTTCTGAAGGAAAAGTTGCAAAGTGTATGTAACATGTCAGCCTTGAAATTTCATTACTTATTACATAGTTGGAGTTATGACTTTAACATGCTGCATTACTTTTACAGCATTAATTTTTCATGTGTCCCAATGCAAGTACGAAACATTTTTGCAGGAAAAAGAGCTAAGACGGTTGCATGATGAAGCAGAAAAGGAAGAAAGGCGACGCGAGAAAGAAGAAAATGAAATTCAGAAACAGCAGAAGAGGCAGCAAGAGGAGGCCGAGAAAGAACTAAGGCGCAAGGAAAAGGAAGAAGCCGAGTTAAGAAAAAGTCTGGCTCTCCAAAAACAGGCATCACTGATGGAGCGTTTTCTCAAGAGAAACAAAACTAATTCCTTGTCTGAAAAGGACAGTCCCATGAACAAAGCAACCACATCAGGTTCATCTTTGAACATGCCTGAGGAAATAGCTGAATCAGTTTCTCTAGCAATGGATTCTGTATTGGCCCAAAACGATGGAGCAGAAGTGAGAGAGATATGGAGGTTGTTCTTAATGACCCACCAATGAATATTAGTGTATGATTTTCCTTTTTTTTTCCTATTAATTATGCTATCTTTTGCAGTTCACACTTAAATGCTTGGCGCTGCAAGGGACGTTTAATGCAATCGAACGGTAAAATGCGTTGGGGCATCCGTCAGATGCCTAAGACTGAGTTGGTCAAGGAACTAAAGCTTACTGCCAATAAAGAACTGTATTTTCATGGGGACTTGAATGAGGAGAAGCTTTCAGTTGGATGTGTCGAATCCAATGCTGATAGACAATTGTCTCATATGAACACAGATGATAATCCTCTTCCTTGTAGTAAGAAGAGCATTCGAGCTAGGAAGCTGTTGCAGTTTGATAAGAGCTATAGGCCTGCATTTTATGGGGTTTGGCCCAAGGAAAGGTGAGATATTTTACTAAGTTCCATCTTAATGTCTTGCTTGCTGGTTAGTTCTGTGTATAAGGAGAAAACAACTATGGGCTGCGTTTAACTTCAAAGTTTGCAGGACATGATCTGTTTGTCACCTTTTGTGTGAATTATTTGTTATCATTTCATAATTTTAATAAATCTGGAATAGAATGCAAGCAGAGTTAATTGTTTGCTGTCATCTTTAGTCACACATGCCTTATTTTAATAAGGAATTCAGGTGGAGGATATCATTTGAATTGCCAAGTGAGGTTGTAGTGTGGTGAATGATTTTTCTTGTAGTATACTAAATTGTCATTTGTACGTAATAAGCTCTTTTGTTTTTAAGTTGCCTGCGGATGCTACTAAGTTGAGAATGTAATTCTATTTTGCCTGCTTATTAAGAAACTGTATTTTGCCTTCTAACTTTATGTTCCTCTTTTTCCAGTCGAGTTGTTGGCGGACGTCATCCTTTTGTGAAGGACCCTGATATTGACTATGAGATTGATAGTGATGAGGAGTGGGAAGAGGTATGCTATCCCCATTATTTAGAATGGTTATTCTCATTGTCATACTTATAATGTAAAGGACTGGTAAAACAGGACGAACCTGGTGAAAGCTTATCAGATTGTGATAAGGATGATGAAGAACAAAGTATAGAAGACCACGCTAAGGATGACGATGAGGATGAAAGTGAAGATGGATTCTTTGTTCCTGATGGATATCTGTCAGAGAATGAGGTACTTAATATGTTATAACATATCGTACTTTTTAGTATCTCACTCTCTCACGGCTATCAATATGCATGTAGGTGCATGCTTGTGTTGGGCTATCCCAGTATGGTGTTTGTTGCAATACATGTAGGAGTGCACATATTTTGGTTTAATATATAATTTAGTTTTCATTTTTGGGTTCTGGTTTTGGTTTCTGGATTCAGTTTGCTGAACAGAACAGGAAAGAGAAAAATTTCACAGATGTTCGTATAGGATTTTATAGAATACATTATGGCTGTTGCTCATTGAAACTATCTACTTTTATGTACCGGCGTATCAAATAACGAAGTAAAAAGAACATTTGTAATTTCATAAGCTATCTGTTTTTCGTATATTTAGTTAATGAGTAAATCCATCTTAGAAACAGGAAGAGAAACAGTTGTAACTGTTTCAAATTTGATCAATCAAGCCAAACTGAAATACACTTAAATTTGAACAGTACTTTCAAAACTTTATTTATTCATAGCAACTCTAATTTTATTTTATTTTGGTGCAGGGTGTAAACTCTGATGACATGGACTCCGATGATACAGTTGAAAATTTAAAAAATCCATCCAACTCTGAGCAGCAAATCCAGAGTGAAGAGTTCTGTGCCTTGCTCCGCCAACAGAAGTACCTGAGCAATATAACAGAACACGCACTCAAAAAGAATCAGCCTTTGATCATATTGAATCTTATGCATGAAAAGACCACTTTGTTATCAGCAGATGAGTGCACTGGTACACACAAGCTTGAACGAATGTGCTTGCAAGCACTTTCTATTCGCCGATTGCCTGGTTTACCAGAAATAGATATTTCAGTTCACGGTGATGGGGTAGATGAGGAAAATGATGCTTTCTGTGACAAGTCAGTTGCAACACCTCCTGTAACCAGTGCAGCTATTCTGGAGTCAGACTTGCCTCAGATTGTAAGTGATTCATATTCAGGATGGTTAGTGATACTAACATCAATGTTTAGCCTAGTAAAAAATGACAGTTATTTTTTCCAAAATAAAGTTCCTTGTTCATATACGTCTATTCACAAATTGCACTGAGCTGAGGTGGTAATCTATGAAACAAATACTAACCTCTGGGTGGTATAATGCTCAGGAGGGTATCTGTGTTTTGTAATTCTTAAAGATAATCAGGCTTTTACTGTTTTAATGATTAAGCTGGGCATTGAGTAATATTTAGTTATCCCTTCATTGTATTTGTGCAGTTTTCCTAATATGATGTGGTTTCTGTTGTATTTTCCATGCCTAACATTTTTCCTTGTCCAACTTCATGTAGATATCAATCATTCAGTCAAACCCAGTTAGCATTGATAAACTTGGAATATCACTAAAGAACAAGTTTCCAGCTGTCTCCAAATCCCATCTGAAGAATAAAGTGAGGGAAATATCTGAGTTCTCTGATAATCGTTGGCAGGTTAGTAAGCTTAATTTCTCCAAGATTTAGACACAAGTAGCTTTCAGAATTGGAAATATACCATATAATATTACAAATACCTTATTGAGGTTTGTATATTATTTTACAAACAACCTCAACAGTGTGAAATTTGTAAAATAGTAGCACATATCAAGATGCATTTGTAATCATGATAGATTTCTAGATGTTAAGAGTTATAGATTCGGGGGAAGGGGTGCCGTCCCATAAGGGTGAAGTGCACCATAAGAGTGCGAGCCTAGTTGCCACCTTAGAGAGGTTCTATCCCTAAACCAATTGGTTGGGAGGAGTAGCCCACTAGGCTTATAAACTAAGCCCATTTACCTTGTCGAATCTGTGGGACAGCTCACAAGTGATATTCCAACACTAGATACATATTAGTTTGGTTATCAATCAGCCAAAATTAATCAAATAATGCCTTTTGTCATATTTTTAGTTTATACTTAATTTTCCTTTCCTATGTACTTAATTGCCTTTGGGATTTGATCTAAATGAGATATTGTGGAAATTGAGAAGGCAATGAATAAACAGTTCATTCGTTGATCTTCGCGATTTTACCAGCATTTTTCTTTTATATCCCTATTAGATTGTTAAATAAGTTGCATAACAAGTAATGAATACGATGTTGATGGTTTGTTGTGCAAGTTCTGGTGTTTGAATTTTTTGTTATTGACTTTTACTTCACCAAATATATATTCACTGTTGAATGGCATTTTATTTAGCGTGGGAGTTGGACCATTTACCCTCATATAACTTGGATCATTTACTAGCTTACGGTTCTGTAATTTTCTAATTCAATGCCTGCCTCATCCAGGTTAAGAAAGAAGTTCTGAGCAAGTATGGCCTATCTAGATCACCAGGTATGAGTCAATTCATTGATCTTTGAGTTTTGAATAGGATTGATTACAAAAAAGGCCCCGTGAGGTTCAGTTCCAACTAACAAGTATAATTTTTTCACCAATTGCGTCCCTCCATTTGTTTCTTGTAATGACAGCAGGGTTATTTTATGTCTCCAAATATTTGAAAATTTATTTTATGGCCTACATTTTTAAAACCAAATTTGTTTCTTTCGTGTATTTGCAGAAAAAACCCGTCTGAAGACGAAATCTATAGCATCGTTCTTGAAAAGATGTTTGCCCCCATCTGGAATCACTAAAAGCTTGAGTGAAACATCTCCACAATCTTCGCAGAAAAATGTGGCAATAGGCGAACAACATCAAGACTGCTTGTGAACTATCAGTAAAAGATCACCTTATGTGTATAACTAGTTATTAATCCCCATGTTTCTGTTTACTGGTTTTATGTTTGTAGTTTTGTTGTCTGGTGGGCATGTGTGAAATTTAAGGAATCAGAATATGGTTTTTGCTGCAGGCTTTGATCTTTTGTTTTTGGCCTGCAGGTAGTCATTTAGCTGTTATTTCATTTTTCTATGCTTGTGTTATAAAACTGCCTTATATATGGCATGTAAATGTAAGGGGTTTGGCCCAAGAGTTGCAGACTAAAATGAATGTGCTATGTAGTAACTAGTAAGACAAATTGGGTTGTTTTTTCCACTTACCACCATAAAACAAATATTGACAAAATCTAAGTAAATGTACCACCATTGACAAGTTGGGGTTCTGTTATGTAGAATTATCTATTGCATGGCTATTATTATTAGGACATAATTAACTATTCCAGTTTGCGCTACATTTATTTCATCCTCCTTTAGGTTTGGTACATCTATCTCAGCTTCTGCTAATGGTTCCAATTCCACAGCCAATACTATCAATCACCTATCAAATCTTTTAACGCAATTATAGTATATGATAACAATTAATAATATCAATTATGAAATAGCAATTATAGAAACGTCAACAGCTAAAAATGTAATACATCAACTATTAAATAGCAATTATTAGAATATCAACCACTAAATATGTCTGTCTCCTTATGAGAGAAGGTGAAGGTAATCTTATCTTACTAACTATTAAAAAGGGAAAAAATAAAAGAAAATAAAAAGAAAAATACTACCTGTTGTTTTCATCAAAACCATGGGATTTGATCGAGTTTGAACGCCAAACGTTTTCTCCAATTTACTACTACACTTGATTCCAGGAAAGGGCAATCAAACTGGGTCGGGCGCCTCGGACGAGAAACGACACGAGACGGCCTACACCAAGATAATCGAGAGGGAGATAATAATCGGAAGAAAATCACCTAGATGCCAGCTCATCTCACGTACGACGGTAAGGATGAGGACTTGTTCGTACTCGGAGTCTACACGGCCAATGATTATGAGAATTCTTTGTGGCCAGATTAAGCTTTGAGTGTAAAATTACTATTATTAATAATAATCAGTGCTCGTTAGGATAGATTTGATTTTACAGCTGGTGTGTGCAATTAATGTGCACACCGGGTTGGGATGATTGTTGGTGTGTGCAGTGCACAGCTGTAAGGTGAAATCTACTGTCAGTTGACCAACTAAGTTTAAGATGTAAAATATTACAAAGATCTGTTTTGTGTCTTTTTGGTCTAGTTTTTTTCCTTGTTCATGTTATTTCTTCTCACCTTTCTTCTCTTTGTGTAATTTTGCTTTTTGGTGTGTTGTATGATATTGAATAAAATGCCTCTCTTCTCTTATTCTTGTGTTCAAGAGCTTTTCACCGACATTTTATGAGCATCACAACATGAAGTTCTTGTGTGTGTTGGAGAAAATATAGATTAATTACAAAAAAAAAAAAAGATTAGAAATTTAGTAGAATTAGTTATATGCAATTTTATAGATAAGAAATTACTTTTTATAAGTATGACCATCTAAGGAAATACATAAAACGTAATAATAAAGGAAAGGAATGAAAAGGAAATCATCATATAAAGGTAAATCCATTTTTCAATTCAAAGAGCATAAATGAACAAATAATTTATAATCCCTCACAGATCATAGCCACATACATAAAACCAAAAGAAAAAAAAAATACAAAAGAATTCCCATCTCAACAAAAACAGTAATCAGTTTTAATTAAACTCGAAATTGCCAGGGCAGAGTCTTCAAATCCCCCTCATCATCTTGCCCCACTTTCCCACTTCTCGCCCCACAACTATTGCTATTCCCACATTCGCCCCTCCTCTCCACGTAAGCATAATAATTTAAAAAGAAGGCCAGCGTCAGCACCGCCCACTCGAGGCAGAAGATCGCCGCGCACAGGCCGCCGGCGAGCTTCAGTATGACGACGGCGTCGTCCTCCCGGACATACGATCTGAGACGGTCCACGAAGTCGGAGGGCCGGGTGAAGATCAGGATCGAGACAGACCCCTGGAAGATGGCCGTGAGGACGGTGGCCACCATGTGGGCCCCGTAGAGCCTGGATCCGCCGCGGGAGGCGGCGGCGCAGCCGGAGACGGCGCCGGCGATGGTGACGGCGTGGAGGAGGACGAGGAGGGCGCCGGTGAGGGATGGGATGAGGCGGAGGGAGAGGGTGAGGAAAGCGCAGCTGGAGGCGGCGCCGATGAGGGCGTAGTTGGTGAGGAGGAACACCTTGTGAGTGAGGGTGGCCGGGCCGCCGCCGTTATCCACCGAGAGACCCATTTAATTGATTAATTAATTGTTAATTGAAATTTCACCGGAGATTTCTTGGAGGGAGATGGAGAGACAGAGAGAGAGAGAGAGAGTGGGTTTATGAGTGAGAATTGGGGGCGGAGAGAATGATATATAGCGGCGGAGATGGGGCGGCAACGGGCATTTTTGGTGGGACCGGAGAAAGAGCTCCAACGGATATATGTTTGACAAGGGCAGCAAAACTTTATTTTTTTATAGTTTAGGTCCCCTTATTATATCTTAATTTCAAATTAAACTGAAATTGATGTGATGATATGAAGATTTTATAGTTTAGGTCCCCTTATTATATCTTAATTTCAAATTAAACTGAAATTGATGAGATGATATGAAGATGGTAGGTAGGTAGACACATTTTTCAAACCTTTATTAAACCATAAATTCTTGTGTGAGTAAAACATGAGTCGATCTATCATATTAATTGAACAAAAATATATACTTATACTATCTATCATTATATAAAAAGAATAACCTTTTTACAAATTTAGCAAGTTTTTCCCGCCAATATCATTAAATGTATCTTATATATAGTAATTGTTGGTCAATTTTGAATAGGCAAAAAATCGACTATGTATATATCTGTTTTTCTTTTTCCTCTTTTTTTGGTATATATGTTTTTCTTTTTCCTGTTTTTATATATATGTTTTTCTTTTTCCTGTTTTTTAGTACTCAAAACCGCCTTCCGATGACAGTATATATCTGTTTTTCTTTTTCCTGTTTTTTTGGTACTCAAAACCGTTGGTACTCAAAACCGCCCGCTGATGACAGTATATATCTGTTTTTCTTTTTCCTGTTTTTTGTACTCAAATCCGTTGGTGACAATAAATATTTGTATTTTTTTACCTGTTTTTATGATACTCAAAATCTCATCCCTTATTTAAAAAAAATAAAATACAACCCATCTCGGGCGCTGCTAATTTTCATTGGTCTAATTACTAATATTTTTACAAATATTATAAACTCATCCTCCAAAACAATGTAAAAAGTATAATAATAATTTTGAAATTGTGTGTAATCAAATTTTGTTAGATGGAAGTAACACCATAAATTCGGTACCATCTGATGTCTTTATTAAATTAGGCTTATAATATTTTAGATATTTTAAACAAATTGTTTAGACAATTTTTTTACATATTCGTCTATATATATATATATACACACACACACATATACATAATTGATGTTAAATTTAAATATTTGTAGACATGTTTTTTCTACAAAACAGTCTAGAAAAATCTTTTTTACACAATGTTAAATTCAAATGTTTTTAGATATATTTTCCTTCTAAAATTGTTTGAAAAAGTTGTAGGTAACTTCACATCTTGCAAAAACAATATAGAAAATTTTGAATACTTTTACATATACTAATATAACATTTTAGGTGTTTTAATATTAAACATACAAATTTTATATTCTCTTATACAAAATAATGCAAATTTTATTTTCTCTTATACAAAATAATTTTACATTGTTTGACCCCGAATATTTAATTTATAATTATTAAGTATTGTTTATCCTCCTCTTTAATTTATAATTATTTTTTTTCTTCCTCTTTTTAAATAGAATCAATAGTAATTTTCACTTAGTAACTCAAACTCGAGGTCTATTTATAATATTGCAGATTTAATATTGTTTCCGTGCATCGCACGGGGTACACACTAGTTAGTTTCTTAAAAGATGAAATTGTATAATGAAAGTT